CTGTCTATTCGAGGAGTTGATGGAAACGTTCCAAGATAATCGCCTTAAAAATACAGGAAGACCCTGCTTTCGATATGAACTTTTAATGCCATCGCTTGTATGGCTACTGCGTTCTTGACCCTGGATTTTCAGCGACAATGGTTTCTCTGTGCAGTGTTGATGCCGGTCAGCAACGGCAACGTCGGAGCCACCCGTTGACGCGTTCGCATAGCTATTTTGCACGTAGCTGTCTAGTTCAGCAGCCTCTTCAATGAGAGAGGCTTCTTTTCTCATTCAATAACTAGGGGTATGCATATGTTCTAACAGTAATTGTGAATCTTTAGCCTGGTCAAGAATTGGAATGACCGATGCTTCGCCGTTCGTCCACTTTCCGTTAATGCCATGTGATTCGACAACTTGGAACATAGCACAGTTCGTCTTCCCAGTGGGTCGACCTCTTGATACGTTTGTTGCCTTGTCGCTGTTACAAAATCATGTCAAAATGGGAAGTGAAGAACGGGCAGCAACTGTTGCTTCCAGAGGAAGAACTGAAAAGTGGCTTACCACCGGAAATGGACCGGTGCCCGGGGTATCAATTGTTTGCACGCACGACTCTTTTTCCTCAAGTTGATCAGGCTCGAAAGATGATGCAAGTTTCGAAGATCCGGCGATGGTGACTAATCTTTGACAGTTCACGTCAGTCACGTGTCCCAGTGTCTACGAACGGCATCCAGCGAGATCTTCGGAGAGGGTGAACAGCTTTGGATGCTCTAAACCTCCCTCCGTTCCAAACTACTTGTCATTGAATTGATTAGGAATTTCATGGAAATCTTCTTGAATGGTAAAATACGAGGAATTATCCTTCATATCGCGGAGTTGCTCAAATTCTTCCTTAAAAAGTCAAACTTCTAGCAGTATCAAATAAATCATCAAATTTGGAATAAAATCTTTTTGGAAACTCATTATTAGATACATTACAGCGGGCAGATGTTGTTTTTTGCCTTTCAATAAGAATGCTTCGCCGGGGTGTATCAAAAAGTTTCATTTCACAGGTAC